GAAAAAAAAGTCAAAGCCACAGCTGATCATTTCCAATAAAAATGGTCTCTATGTGGAGTCGGTCTATAAACCTTTTTCCCTAGGAAAAGGCTGCAAGTACTATTGAAGCCCAATTTAAAACCAGACTTTTACTAACAAGAGGAGATTTTACAGTAAGGCTAGGGCCTGCTTTCCACTAAGTCTCAGCCAGTATAAATGCAAAATTAGGCATCAGCTTTCAATGTAGCACACAGTTCAATGGCTCTTAACATCAGGTGCGATTAAGCACACTTTGAATTTTTGTCAACCAAATTCCAAGGTAATAAAACTGACAACTCCTGTTGGAGGGTTTTTTGGTCACAGTGGTGCTATTGGGTGATGAAGCTTCTTAACAGCTTGTTTGCCTTGGCAGTGCAGTTAAAAGATTATTAGGTAGCTGTACATTTTTAAGTAAGGATGGCATTCTAGAGCTGAGCACAAAATCTTAAAATAAATTTGTCAAACCCTTTAAGCCTCATGATTTTTTTTTCTCCTTTTAATATTTGGCGGATGCTGGAAGCCTACCAGCAAGTGAGCTAGGAAGCCTTTGACCATTTCACTAGGGGAGGAAAACTCACTCTCTCCCCACTTCAGCTAGCATAGGTCCAGGCTAACAAGTCAGCAGAACTAACACAGAGTGAAACTCGTCAGTGAGATGAGGAACAGCTGATAATTTCTGTTAAATACTTAATCGTTTTTCCTTTAAATCCTGATGTACATTCTGTATTCATTGCCTGAATAATTTCCACATTTTAAAAAGACTGATGGCGAAAGGAAAAAGGGTTGAAGGGCTTCTGAGAAGCTAATAAGCTATTTTATTCATGTCCCAGATTGGAGACCAGATGTTAAGTTCATACTTAACCTGCCCTGCTGACCCGTCACCCAGATTCAGCTCCTCCTCTCAAAAGGAAAACCAGCAGTATTGCTTGAAAGGCAGCAGTAGAATATTTCAGATACCTCTTTTAGCTCGCTGTGTTTGGGGCAGGGAACAGTGCCCCACTCTGTGCCGTTTGGAAAGTGGCCTTCTTTTCTTTTTTCAGAATTGGATGGGCCATCAGCAGTCATCTCCATCTCATCCGTTTGGTTCTCCTCTTCCTCAAAACCACAGCAGTTGGTTTCCTTCAGTTGAAACCCTCGGATCAACAGCTGACAGGCCTCCAAGTCAGCTTCCCACACTTTTTGGAGCAGCTGGCTCCCACAGCTGAAATAAAAGCCAAAAGAAAATAAAATTGCAGCTCAGGGAGAATAGTTGCTATTTCAAGTAACTTTTGGGGTGATTGCTTATTATTAGATAGGAAAATAAAAACAAAAAACCCCCCCACCCCCAACAGCAGCTCAAATACTTCCACAGAAATAACACAAGCTATTTCAAACTGAAAAGCAGTAAAATTATGGCCCTATTGCAAAGCTGATGCCACAAAACCCCCTTTGTGCTAAGATGGTGCTTCCAACGGTACGGCGTACACTGGCTTCACATGACCGCCTCCTGATCAGACACAAACCCAGGGGTCTTGCAATCACAATCGGAGCTTCCTTCATGCTGTCAGATGTACAGGCCTGTCACCCTAACAGCAGTCAGGGGTTTCTGAATTTGATGTAGAAGATCATGTATGAGCAATCACACTGTTGACTGCATTAAATCAGCTCTAATTTTCGGAAAACAGGTACACTAATTTCTTGTTAGTCTGAAATGTGCTCGCTTCAACTCTGGTGAACCAAATTATATTAAACTATGATACTCTTCCTTCAGTCTCACACTTTTGAGTGTTGTCTTTATCTCCCACTAATGTGCTGCTTTTTTTTCTACTTTGCTATCCCACCAAAGAAAACCCAAAAGTATTAGGAAATTCAAAATACCAAATTTCCTCATACTTTTAATCCATCAATCATCTCTGTGAATGTTATAGATACTGTTCCCGAGATCCGCCCAATAGATATTTTCACCTGAAGTAAATGGGAATTCTAGGCATAAATAGTTTTTCAGAACAAGACACAGAATACTAACATCATACTGCTAGCAAGAGATGTGGTCGCATCTCCATTTAATAGGTGTTGTCTCTAAGGAACCAAAAGATTAGGTTGCCTCCTAAAATATAGCAGATCAGTGGCAAAGCCTGGGATGGGACTCAGAAGTGCCGATTCCCAAGGCAGTACACGCTCACAGACAGATCTGAATGCTAATACCTACTAAATGCAATACTTTTTTCACAGTGCTTTTCAAATTATATCACTTGCTATATAATAGTAAGCAATTATAAGCGACTAAAAGAAGGAAAATAACTATTTGATTTTAGCTTTTCTCACTAAATTACCAGCTTATCTTTTATTCTAAATGAAGGATAAAGGAGCTGCACTGCGCACAATGAATTCATTAATCTAACAAAGGTACATTTTTAACTCTACAAACTCTACAAGATGCCAAGTTGCAAAATTCAAACAGCAGTATTTTGAGACTGAGAGCAAAATTAAGTTCCAGAAGCTGAACTCCTTGATCTGTGCTTAGAGTCAGTATATACATTTATTGGAGGCAGAATGCAGTATGAGGTCCACAAATTGGTCTTCCCCAAGGAGTGGAGAGTATCACTAATTAGAAAGGGAAAAATTCTTCAATGGATTACACTTCTGTATTCCATCCAGGTAGCATTTTCACTTATGAAGCCAGAAAAATAAAATAACCCCTACTGTTTCTCTACTTGTCAGTCACGCCATCATGGTTATGCAGTCAAAACGTTTCCCTGCAGACACACATAAGCCCATCTACTTGCTTTTTGAAAAAGTTTGTTTGCAGCTATATATGGCTTATTATTAAAGGCTTAGAAAACACACTAGGGACTTAAATCATAATTTTCAGTGGATAGCTTGTTTTGGCTATTCAATTTAATGAAGAGCTCTATTGACAATACTAGGACAGAGATAGTGATGTATGTAGTATTCACAGTGGAGAAGATGAATAGCATATATAAAAGTACAGCATAACAGTGCTGGCACTGCTGTTATTTGGCCATGACAGCTCATCGGTCAATGTGCTTTTGATTGTGTCTAAGTTTTACACCCATTTTAGTAATCAGCAATTACTGAATATGCTGCTAATAGCTTTTATTTTAAGGACATCTTTGTTTTATCACTGTATCTGTAAAACTCTGATACATCCTGAACTAAGATACTAAGATGTTATGCTGAGCTTTTCAATTTAAATCGGTGAATGCACAGATACTTGGATATTCTGAACTTACTTAGGCCAAGGACTCTGCATCTTTTAGTCTGTATTTTGAAATTCTGTGCTTAGAAGCATTTTTCTAACACACTTTTTAAATGAAAAGTATTTGAAAGCTGCAAATAGCTGACACAGAAACACATACCAAATAATTAGTAAAAATTATCACATTCCCCACATAAAAAAAATCTTTAGCTCAATCAAGGTGTAAAATCAAGCTCAATTGAATTTAAGAGTCTGATTTATTCGTGACCAATTCACACTAGAAGTACATTTGCAGTCTCCATGAAGCCAAAAGTATGTGGATGCCTGTACTGACCACATCGAGTTTTTTCAGGTATGCAACTTTTCAAAACAATGGATCAAGACTGGATCAGGTTTCATATTATCCCTATCCTTATAAATATTTTATGATGTATCAACCTCTAGGTGTTATATGCCTGTCTGTACATTACTATCAAGGTGGTATACGTGGCAAGTTCAATGGAGGTGCCAGGAAGAATTTGCTGGAATCCACTACAAATCACAAACCATCAACCATTTATACAGACCCAGCAACAACAAATCATACCTAAATCACCTACTGATTGTGAACTTCCAAGTGCCACAGTGCTCGTGAGTCCAAAGTGCCAGGCTTTGTACAAACACCAAACAGATTACAGTGATGGCCCTTTTCTCAGAAAGACTTTTAAATTAAAACAAGCAACAAGAGCTAGGATACAGAAGAGGATGTTCAAAGAAACACTGAGACAACGATGGACTGAACATGGCACAGTAGTTACAGTACAATGGTTTAATTAGTTACCTCAGTAACTAGTTAATCTAATCACTGTCAAGCACACTGAGGTATCACAGTGAATAAGAATTTTAAGGACTTGCAGAATGGTAATGAAACAGGTCAGTGGATATGGAAGATCTCCATCCCTCCATAAAGGAATCATGTAAGAAAGGCAAAAGGTATTAGTATAAAAACATAATGGGCAAGTGATTGATACCCATGGGGTTTAACATCTGTAAATGGAAGTCAGACCTTTAATATTAAAAAAAAAAAAAAAAAAAAAAGACTAAGTAGGTGGTAAAAGATTGTAAGCAGCCTTGACATTGAAGGCTAGCTGTTATGTTTGATGTGACAGGACAAAGGGAACCAATGGATAAAAGCAAATAAAATGAAATATCAGAAACACAGAATTAATTTTTATCTTTAAAAAGAGAGAGGAAAGAACAGTCATTGCAGTAGTAACAGCACTCTGAATGGATGAGGGTAGGGCAAGACTGCTTTTTTCAAGTCATGGCCAGGGAAATGGATGTTGAAGTAAGTGAGATGCAAGACTCAGAGTAATTTTTTAGTTGGATGGATAGCTGGGACAGGTCTTATCTCAAGGATACTGTGCAGAAAAATCTACAAGAGCAGGCCTAAGTAGACTTGAAGAATGGCTGAGACATCCACAGCAACACAAAAGACGCAGCAGGAAGAATTCTGGATTAGGTCAAGTTGATGATGATGAAAGAGCTGTCAGAGAAACAGAGCTCTTTATGGACAGGAGGAAATGAATGTGGAACAGAGAGGTTTATCCTTGAGTTCTCTTCATAAAGTGGCAATTTAAATTGTAATTGCAGATGCCTTTACCAACTCTCAAGTAGTTTTCTAGGAAACAACACCAGAGATCAGAGGATACAAGGAAACTAGAGGATACCTTCAATCTACACATAACATTGGGAGAAAATAATGTCAAGAGTCATATCCAGCAAGGATTCTCTCTCTCTTCCTTGAAGTCCAAAGAACATCGCTCCTCTGTCTTTTCAAAAGATTCCCAGAGATATCAATGGGGGCTCTCTATGTGGCTCTCAGCACAACATTATTCTAAAGCTATTTATAGTGCCAACTGGAACTATGAGAACACTACTTTCCTATTGAGGGCTCTGCATACATACAAAAAGCACATTCAGTTCCTGAACATTATAGCCTAAATGAAAACATGCCCATGTAAAAATAGCCCAGAGATTTTATATTAAACCCTATTTAAAACAAAACAAACCAAAGTCCCCCAAAATCTCCTCAAAAGCAAATTGGAATCAGCATGGGGAGATGTCACTACTTGTAAATCTCATCATCTCTAGTTTTTAGGAATGCCCCTTGGTGAGTGTACTGTTGTAAGTGGTTTATAACACCCTCAGGTCAACACTGTGTGTTGATAGGTGTTGCTTATTCTAAGGGAAATCCCAGTAAGAAGCCACATCTTGAAAACCAAGAGAGTGAGACTGAAGCTAAAAGGTTACTCAGTAAGACATCTATTTAGAAACTGCATAAACAAAGCTAACCTACGAGGGAAGCTTAACTATCACGAAGAAATAATACTCTAGACAACTTTCTTCTAATAGGTGAACCACACTAAGGTGCAGATTCAGATAAGCATGTACTTACCTCTTCCCAGTACCTGGCTCACATGTTAACAGTGCATTCACTGACCCTAAAAACAGTTTTCTCTGACAAGAAAGCAAACGAAATGCAGCAAAAATAGTCTGGCAGAAACAGCAGGCATTTTCGTTACAACAATTAAAATGATTGGAAAGTTTTGAGGCTTGCAGAAAATGGCAATGTGAATCAAAAGACTTTGTTCTACATCCCTGTTCTTTGTTAATCTATTGTAAAAACTAGGGAAAGTTTCTCTGTATTTTGGTCACTCACTTCTATTTATATTTTGCACCACAGGGAAGGAATTAGCTCTTCTTACTCTACATTTGGTTATGTCTTTGTTGCCTTTTCTTAAGGCAACAGCCACACAGTGAACAAAGGAGGCAAGTAAAAGAAAGTATGGAGTAATAATATTTAAAGGAAGGCAGGCAACCATATTGTTTTACTGTTAGCAGAAGTCCACCTCTATGATTTGGTTTACCATATTAATTCAGTCATGCATTTATAGCCCTTCCTTTATCTAACAAGTATTTACTATTTCAGGAATATGTTTTGTTTCTCTCCTTCATAAAAA